GGGGGGGGGGGGGGGGGCGTGGGCGTGTTTTATGTTGGTTTGCATGTGTGTGTGAAAGTGTTTGTGTGTTTTTGTCTGTGTCTGCGTTTGTGTGTTCGTGTGTGTTAGCAACATGCAATCTGCAAATCACAGCCTGACTTTCGCATTCTAAACTCCTGAGTCAAGGATGGGATTTCTGCCAGAGTGGCCGAGCAGGCATGGTCAAGTGACATCTGTTCTCGGCAGTTGCAGCTGTAGTTGGCTGGCTTGCATGGTCGCTTGATTGTCACACAATCTGCTCCCAAACCTTGCGACATCAGCGCACAACCCTCGCACACACACACACACAGACAGATATTGATAGCGCATGTCTGTATACATGCGTTTGGCGGCGTATGTATGATGTGTGTATTTAGAGTGGGTGTATGTATTTATTTCTATATGTATAATTACAACATCTATTTATCTACTTAGTTACACGTACATATGTAGTTTGACATAGAGGGTAAGCCACAGCAGCGGCCAAAAACAGCTAAACGAAGGCATGAAACAACCGGAAGCCACTGATGCACCAGACTTGGTTTGCACATACATCTCTTGCTAAGCGACGCTTGCATTGTTCATGTATACCGCTATCACATCTGGTGAGACTTCTTCGCAGCTGGACAGGTGGGCTTCAAGGCCCTGTACATGACAGGCCCGGGTCTTGACAGAGTGGGCTAATAATAGATGTGAACAGGGCTGGGTTGCACTGGTAAGGCTTCAGGCTTCACTGAATGACAGTTGAGTTGAATTCTTATGTCAAGTCTATGCTTTAGGAGTGGGAAGGAGGGTTGCCGTCCCCTTGCCCGAACTCGACCAGGTTTAGTCTTCTTCATGCCACGTTTGATTTGGGGTTTGGACATGGAGACCACTCATTCTGTAATGTTCAAGCCGTCAACATGTGCTAACTGTTACAATGGTGCATGTAAGGTATCCGGATTGCATTCTCAACTGAATGTGCTCGGCTTTGCATGCCGTCAGGCTTCGGGACCGTGGGCAGCCACTTGGGTTTGCCGGATGCCGGCCTTGCTTCCTACCGCGACATGGTGGAGAGGGTCGGCCGGTTGCAAGCTTCACAGCTGACCTGATGTACAGTGGCAGGCAGCCAGGCTCTGCAATAGAACCAGATCAATAAGGAGCAGGCAGCGTTTAGCCTAGAGCTTGACGTGGAGCAAGCGTTCTCTCGAAGCTGAGGTGCGGACCCTCACGGCCCTTACGTCAGTGCCCGTCATTTGCGACGGCGACACAGGCTTTGGCGGCCTACTGAATGCGACTCGGTACCTGAGCACTAAAACTCAGTTCATCACAGAATGCTTTGCAGCAGCTTCTGCAGGCATGAGCAGATCCTGTCGCCTAAGGTGGCGCACACAGTGAAGGGATATGCGCCTCTATCCGCAAGAGTATTGACATATTCCGCTACCGCTGCGCCTTTCAATTGTTTTGGCGGCCATGACACCTAGTGACCTAGTGCTCGCGATCCTTGCATGAACGAAAGACAGCATGCTCACTTCTTTGTACAACCTCGGAAGTGTCTAAGGAAGAGGCGGGTGCGAGCGCCATCCAGCTGGAGGACGATCAAGTCCCCAAGTAGTATAGATCCATCTGAGTGTCTGAGTGTCGCAGACCCGACTAGGCAGTTACCGTCAGCCCCTTCGCATCATGCCTTGGTTCGGCAGGACCAGGAATTCCCCAAGAAGTGTGGTCACACCCCGGGGCGCAAGGCTCGGATGCTATTCGACTTCTGAGATTCTGAACCCGGACCCCTGCTCAACTCGGAATAGCTAGTAAAAAGTAGTACCAAGGCGTGAAAGTAGGGATGGCAACTGTGAGTAAAGTAAGACTGACAAGGCGCAGTATTCACAAGCAGAATCAGACCGGGCATTGTGATGATCAGCAGGGTCAGCTTGAGAAATGAATCGCGGATGACGACGACGATGGCCCACTCGGAGGACCACGTCGACAACGATGAGGACGACGGCGACGATAACGACGATGAGCAAAAGGACGAGCACTAGGACGACGACGATGACGACGAAGACGAGGCGAAGGAGGAGGACGAAGCGGACCACGACGGCAGCCAGGATTCCTGCAGCTAAGCTCAGCCCCGTAGCATTATCCTGCCGGCACAAGTATACTCGAAGTACGTGCCGGCAGGTGATTCCATTCGAGCAAGCCGTGGCCAAGATTCGTGTTGCGGCAGAGGTGCACGGAGATATGCAAGCCGGAATCACGTTGCAACCATCACTGCAAGCAGAATCAGCATCCATGTCTTAGCCACAGACACGCACGCTTCGGATTCGATACTACCACGTTGGTATGTCGAGGGCTGCAGGCTCGATGCGGGACAAGCATCTAACTTTCACGAAGCTTGTGGTGATTTTGGGTTGGGTGCAGAGCATTTAGTATGAAGGAGGCGTGAGATGCACATTCTGTCCAAGCATCTTTGTCTCCGATGCACACGGCTGGCTAATGGCTTTGGTAATGCAGCCTCCGGTGTGCATATAGCATAAACTGATTCCCTGACTTGTTTTTGAGTATTGATTGAAACTTTGCCAAGAGCTTCTCGTCGCCAGCATTGTTTGGGAATGTTGCAGTCCTTGGACTTGTAACCTTTTGAACTATATAGTTCTAAGAACGGTTCCACCCATCACATGTAGGTGTTTGTGAACGGTACAAGTTGATGATTGCTGCCACCTCGGAAGTGAACCATGTCAAGACTCGACTGGTCGGGGTTGTAAGTGTCGATGTTGTTGATGATCAGGCGCGAACATCCCCGGACTTCCTGATTGTGGCCCGGACCGATGCCCGCACCAACCTAGGACCTCAGCCATCCGCTTGCAGACTGAAATATGTGTCCTTAACACGGAATCTGTTTCGGTTCTCAGCCCGTTCCCCCCTGAGTGAACCAAGTCTGCAAACCCTTAAAGCCCCATGGAAACTTGTCAAACCCCTAAAAACCCTATAGTAACTTATCGGTCGACAAGATCAAGAACTAGGCAGCTTGACAAGCTCCATCAAACCCTAAACCCTAAACAAAGCCTCATCGATGCGTTGGGAGGACTGGAGGAGGCGATCCGCCGCGCCAAGGCCTTCGCAGAGGACTCCCGGGAGCTCGGCTTTGGGGACTATCATAAATACCAGCCATAGGGTATTATCAGGATAACAATAATACCACAAACATTCATTTATGCTAATGAGGGTAATCGCACTAATCAATCAGAATCAGAAATCAGAATCATAAGAATAATATGGGGGAGGACTCGGGTTGTTGACTGCTTAGCGCCTTCAGGGTCTTGCTTTGGACCTTCGGGTTTGGGGCTCAGGGCGGTGCCTTTGGGGAATCCTTGAAGCTTGTCCAGCTTTGCCAAGGAAAGTATGCCAAAGTCAAGCCCAAGACCCTAGTGTTACGGCTCATGGAGTTCTCTCTAGGTTTTAGCTTCCAGTCTGCTCCGCTTTTATAGAGGCGAGGAGCCATTAGGAGCCATTCCAACCCTAAACCCTGAACCCTAAACCCTAAACCCTAAACCCTAATCCCATTCCAGCAGAGCGCCCCCCTCCTTCCTTTTGCCTTCGGCTGCTGCAGGCTGGAGCAGACATCCTCTTCGTTGAAGCGCCCGAGTCCGAGGTGCCTCGGAGAGCCGAGGATGACATGGAAGCTTAGGCTGTAGAAGGCTTATATACAGTGTATGTGTGTATATATTTATATATTTATGTACATATATATAACTATATATGTATATATATATATATATATATGTTATGTGTACATGAAGGTACAGGGGCTCTATCAGGGTTCTAGTAGGGGATGGGCAAGGGCTCTACAAGGGTTCTAGGAGGGGATGGGCAATCTTTTCGGTTGTCAGGCCAGAGGCTTTCCATGTCGGGTCGCTTGCTTGTGTTCCGTCATCGACCTAGCGAGTCGCAGCCATCGAGGCATGTACTCTGCTTATGATTATGATTAGTGTTATTATGTATAATCGTGTATTTTTCCTACTAGTAGCAGTAGTTGTATTAGCATTATTATTGCATTCTGAAATTTCATTATTCTCATTATCATCATCTGCTCGAGGCAGAAATGAAGCAGATCTGTGATGAACTGGCGCCGACTGGCAAGGCCATGTTGGTCAACGCGGTTGAAGGCAGGGGGGCAAGTGTGACAACTTGCTGAATCTTCGGAAGCCACCCTTTTGACTGCAAGCTTCCGGAGTGTGGCCCCTAAACCCTAAACCCTGAACGAAGGAAAAGAGGTGATAAAAAAAACCTAAACCCTAAACCTTCAATGAAACTCGAAGCTTCGAGCTTCAGGGGCAGACTGTCCAGTTTCCGTTCTCCGCAGGTGTAGGGGACTCTTCTGTAGAAAGCGTAGCATCAAAGGCTTTTTGGCAGCTTGCACCAGAAAGTCAGTGGACGCAATAGCACTGACAATGCACAAAGCATGCTTAAACTTAGCTCTCCAGATGGTTCTCCGGTACGCGTCAGGTGGGAAGACGCCTGTGCTGCCGCGAGAGCGGTACATCGAGCACTCCAGCGGGAAAGTATTCACATACATTCCACGTAAGCTGCTGCCACTACAGTGCGCAATCGAGAAGAACCGTAGTCAGAGCAACACCACCAACATCCACCAATGCTTTTCTGTTGCCTTGCTGCCACAAGCTCCAGCAATGAGTTCGGTTTCCAGCTGACGATAGAGGATGATAGAGGCCAGAGCTGTCACATCTTGCGTTGACCACCGCCTGCGCCCCTTGACAGCCCCACCCCCCCAACTACAAGAGCACGATGCTTCTAACTGAGGCTTGGCTATCAGGTGGCGATCTATCCTGCGACCGGCTTCCTTGCCATGGGGAAAGCTTTGGAGAAAGTCTACAGGCTTGTCTCGTGCCTTTAAGGCTTTTCTGACTAGTAGTCTGAGCGCTGAGTTTCTGCCAGTGTGCCTTTGCGGGTCGCAGCGTCGCAGAGCCCTGCCAGGTCTTTGCGGAACGAGGGTGCCTCAGCTGAATGGTATGGCAGATGAAGACAACCATAGAAATTCGCAGTGGGAGCTTTCCTGGCATGAGAGTCGGCAGCAGTCGCCGTCCACATCGTCCGCGTCTGGAGACCTCGAATGTTGAAGGAGATCAAGCTTTTCAAGCCTTCCTATGTTCCATCAGGCATCAACCCAGCATAACCCAGCCACGGTTCATACTATGCAGTTTCGTCCTGCTCAACCGTAGCATCGCATCTCCCGCCGCATGCTTGGCAGCTCTGAGGATCCTCTCACTCTTGTCAAAGTGACCTGGCGAACTTCAAAGGCTTCTGCGTGACGATGGGGTTCCAACACGTTTGGGACTTCGATGCTCGGCGCCATACGAGGTAGAACAAGTGCGCATAGTGAACCCAACGTCCTCAGCCGGCGTGTTGGTCCGGCGGTGATCGTGGTGTGGGTGGTGGTGCTGCTGCTGGCTGGTGGGTATGGCAGGGGTGGGCCTTTGCGTGGGGATGGAAGTGATTGTCAGGTTTGTGACGCTGTAGGTGTGTGTAAGTTGGTGCGCTTGTTCCGGTTCTTGCGCCGGCGAGGGTGCTAGGGCCGCTAGAGATGGATCGTCGTCGTGCCCGCCGTCTAGTAGAAGGCAAGGGCATCGGCTCCTCTCGTCAGAGCCAGATCTTGGTTCGATTTTAGTCATGCCAGTGCGTCATTACTCATCATCTGTTTGCTTTGCTGGATGCTTGGGTAAGGACAAAGAACATGCTGATCTGGAGGAGGTCCGATGCTCTCGGACGGGCTAGTATAGGGGCTAGTAGATCTTTTGAACACCTCGGCTTGCGCAAGCGGCAGCAGGTTCCTCCTGAGAAGAAGCACAGGACCGCCACTTGGCCGAAAGAGGTGAAATTCTCATCGGTTCTTGAAGCAGCATGAAGCAGTGCCGAGCTAGTTCATGCATGTATTATTCAACATGTTGAGAGTTGAGATACGTGTGCGATGTCGTGGCTGTTTTCCTGTCATTTTTCGCTCGGTATATTCACGAAACTGTGGGAATCTATGATGTCACCCACCCCTAAAAGTCAGATGAACATTCGTGCACATGAACCCATCCCTGCAGCTGTGACTCGCAACAGCCCTGCTCATGTGCACAAACCGAGGCATAGTCCGAATTGGTCCTGCTCGCCTGAGGGATGTTGGCAGTCCTGAGTTGAAAGATTCGGCCATCTCGGGTGCCTAGGAATCCAGGAGCTACGGCATCAGATTGCTTTACTATCGTCCGGTGAACCATGGTGCTCTTTGTCAGTCATCTTACGCCCGTTTGGCCCCAAGATGTCGGGAGCCGTCTCTCGAGACGAGCTTCTGTGGTAGGTCCAACAATTTTCGACTTCGATGTTCACTCTGTCCGGAGGTTTGTCCGAGAGTGTGGAGAAAAGCTATGTCACCTCATGGATGCCGAAGCTCAAGATTGTAAACCATGATCGAAGAGCAGACTTTAGACACTTTAGACCATGTACATCACAGCTTGTTTGGCACCAATACCCGAACTGCGACCGTGCGTCTGACTACAGCAGCACGTATCACACGAGTTGCCAGGCGGACTTGCTGATGGAAGTGTCTCGACAGCCTTTGGTTCTTTTCTTCATCCAGTACGACGATTCGGTTGGACTAATGGTTGTGTCAGGGTCTTTTGATATTGTCGAGCTCAATAGCTGGTACTCATCAACGCGGAGTCTACTCTGAGTGCTGGGCAGCTCTCGACAAGCTCTAGGTGCGCATGCCACTGCTGTCGAATCATCCGCATCTTGGCAGCAGACAGAAGTCATGAATCCAGCACAAGCTGTTCGTTTTGGGCGACGAAGACTATGTCGCACATGCTACTGTTGTTCCGGAGATTAGAGGTTCGGCAGAACTCTGTGGCAATCACGTCAAGCACATGCCAAGCCGAAAACCCGGCGAAGCTGACAGGCTTTTCAGAGTGCTGAAGGGCGAGTACAATGCGACCCTGCGGACGATGCTGACTCAGGCAGTGAAACAGGCGTGGCATCCGCGCAGATCTAGTGTGCATAGACCGGAGTGCATGAATGCCCGCACAGTCACTGCCTAGCATCAGCAGGTCAGGACACTCAAGACGACATCTAGTGAAGCTGCAGTAGCGGTGGCCAGAGAGAGAGAAGCAGTAGCAGGACCATAGGATTCTTTCAGGGATGGCAGATGCAACATGAGTTGTAACTGCAGCAGTCACTATTGTGTAATGTCGCTATAGGAAAAGCAGCATCAGCAGGGGCAGCAACAGTCGCACCGGCAGCGGTGGCCATCGCGCATTTCCAACAATATACGGTCATGAGATCGACAACCTTGGCAACAGCAGCAGCAACGGGAATGTCGCTCATGTAACTCGTGGGATCGAGTGTCGAGCGAGGAGTCAAGCCGGTACATGGAGACGGTGTTTGCGAAGGGCAGCGTGTGCCACCAGATGTACTTCGTAGATGGCATCCTGGCGGCACGGTGCTTTGGAATGACATCTTTCGCGATTCAGAGCTTGTGTGAGGAGTGTTTCTCAAGGTGTGGTTTATTCATGCTCTTGCCATCTTGTTGGCTAGGGCCTCCATCGCTCTTTAAAGCTTAAGCCGGAGTGCCAAGCTGTCTCGTTCAGAATCCTTCTTACATCTTGGCTGAAACTTTGCTGAAGACCCCAAGCACAAAGCTTTGCCAGCCCTGCCGAGCCGTAAAACCTACAGCAAGCACTGTACACCTACATGCCCTCAACCCTTTCTGGCCCTAAACCCTAAACCCTTACAGCCTCACAGGATCCGCATGTAGCCCTTGTCTGAGGTCCCTCGGTCTTTCGGTTCAGACCCTAACCCCCCAGTTACCTACTATATAGGGTACTACAGCCCCTAAGGCCCTATATAGTAGGTACCTGGAGGGTTAGGGAGAGTGCTTGGGTTGCCTGTTACTGGTTGCTGATGGCAGTGGCTACGCAGGATCTTCAGCGGGCCTTGAAGGGTATGGGAAGCCGGCAGTGTGGGGTAGGTACTGTAGGGGCCTTAATAAGCAGAATAAGGTTTCGGGCATATTATACTATAATTATACTCTAATTATACTATAACTATAATGATAATATAATTATAATAAAGAACCCCCAGAACCCTATTGTGGTAGAGGTGGCGAATCTCTCAAGTTCCCGGTCTCCCACAGCCACGTGGCGTTCATACCGCATCACCCATGCGCGGAAGGAAACGAGGTGTCAACAACAAACCCCACAACCCTGAACCCCAAAGCCCTAAACCCTAAACCGTGACTTCGCCCAACCGTCACCATGGCTCCTCCCGGTAGGGATCTTCGGTTACTAACAGCAGGTCATAAAAGGGCCCCACACAAACAACAACAAAATAAAAAAAGCACATAACGTGACTTCCTCAGGACCACGGCTTCTCTACAGCCGAGATACCGGACTGAAGAGCTGGCTGGCAGATCGCGGGGTGGACTTTGAGAAGCCGCCTGGCGCGATAAAAGATGGGGTGCTGGTGATTTGTTTAAGAGTTCTGAGTGTTTTCGAGTTTCGGGGTGTTGCAGAAGTTACCGATTTAGGCTGGGGCTTTTCAGATGCGGCTTCTTGCCCCCGTGCTGTCTGGCCTTTAGGAACTGGGAGTTTTTAAAAGTTAGCCCAAACTGCAGCTTCCTAATGTTCTCAAATGAGGTACCCTAGTAGGTGTTTGGTGGGTCTACTCTGCCACCCGACCGTAAGCAAACAACGGCCACGGCCAGGAAAACGAAGAAGAGTCCAGCGCGCCGCGTGCAGAACATGCTTGGCCGCAAGACGCCCTGGCCTCGGGCCATGGCAGGAACTTGCTGTGCAAGGTAGACGCTACATTTCTATGTCGGGATTTTGATTCCATATTCGTGAAAACAGCAACGGTTCGACAGTGCGCAAGCACCTGGGTCAACAAATTCTGACCCTCACCCCNNCCCCCCCCCCCCCCCCCCCCATCCCAGTGCACACCTTGCAGCTGCCTGTTGTCCCGTTGTCCCGTCGAAGAGCACTGGCACCAGGCAGTTCCTCGAAACTCAGAACGAGATCTTCCAGAATTACGAGCTTCCCAAAGGCTCCTACTTGTGCGAGGCATCCCGGGGATCTCCTCTGCTGGCTCTGCGTTCTGCATTGTGCAGCGTCTTGAGTTGCAGGCCTGCATCTGGGCCGATAAGTGGGTCAACCAGGGCGACTTCATTTCAACATCACACAGCATCTGGGCTGCACTGTCATGCCGAGATAGTCATCGGAGAATGCTTGGTGCATCAGACAGAAGCAAGAGGAAACGGAAATCCGAGGCAAATTGGTGACCATCCGCAGCGATGCTTTTGCTGAGGCCACAAGTACCGTTTCAGAATACATGTCGGCATCACGGCATTATGTTGGTGACACATGTCTCGTGGTAGACCGCGATGGATCGGCTATGTTTAGCCTGTTGACTGTTGACCCTGTCAACTCGCCACTGTGCAAGCTCCTTGTCCAATCCCTGGCCGGTAGCACAAAACCTTAGCGGCCTGAGCTCCAAGCAACCCCCGTGCACAAGTAGGGATACTTAGCAGAAAAATTGGGAAAGAGGGGGCACCCGCATCCATTGCTTCCAGGCCGTGTCCAAGCACGAGGTGCTGTGCTGAGTGGCAGCGGCATTCATGTTCGGAGTATCTATCGTCCATAGGATTGGGGACGCCGTCCCACTTGTCGGTGTCAGTCCCGATTCCCGTATCCGTGTGCCCTGAAGCCTAGACCGCAAGCCGGCTGTCGTAGACTACCCACGAGGATTCCAAGCACTTCGTGAGCTACTACGCACGCAGCTGGTCTTGCACTGGGGCTTGGGCTTCGGGATTCAGGGCCAAGGCGTGTCTCTGGGCAGAAAGATAGGTAGGAGCCCACACTGTCATTGTGTTTGGTGGGATAGATAGACATCGTGCTGCCACTGAAGCTGGGCTTCGGCTTGCTACTTTCGTCCCAAAGCCTGACTTGGTGAAGAAGCGAGTGGAGCAAGATGTTTGCAGAGCAAGGTCACTTCGTGGAAGAACTCAGAAAGAGCTTCGACACTGGTGAGGCTTGGGTGGGCTTGGGTCAGAGACATCCGCTGAGAAGTTTTTATCCTGCCAGTCTCTGCTGATTAGATGCCATGGCCACCCAGCTCAGCACTGGTCGCTACAGTTTCAGGGTAGTGGCGCCGAAGCATAAAGCCCTCAGCTAGAAGCTGCCGCAGTCCAACGGGGACATCTTCCATGTCGACTTGTACAACGTCTTGGGCGTTGCATCTCCAGCGGGGGCCCTAAAAGGAAGAGGTTTACATAGGGTCCAGGCTCCTGGCACTACATGAAATCAACGGGCAGGCACTTTGCCCTTATTATCTGACGAAAGGATGATGGCATGCATTCGAGACTGTTGCTGATCCAGACGAGTACTACTGATTAGTGATTACTGGTACGTTGTTGAACCGGTTCTGATTTCTTTGCATACTTTGATTACCGCAGATGAAATTGAGGTCAGCCCTCGACGCGAGTACTATTTGTGTTTGCTTGTTCCTTGTCGTACTCGGTCGTAGTGACGAAGCCAGTGGCCCTTACTGCTTGCTACGAGTATCTACGACAACGACGACGACGACTGCTGCTGCGATTGCCCCTGCCCCTGCTCCTCCCCTTCGTGCTCCTGCAGCTATTGCTACTGCTGCTACTAGTGCTACACAGACACCGAAACGGACACCTACGACGACTACCACCACTGCTACCAGTACTACTCGTCGCTGTCATCCTGGTCGTTGCTGTTGTGTTGGCTTCTTGTGTTGGCGGTTGTAGGTTTGTGAGGTCATGCGATGTTATTAATTAGCTGATGTTCAATGGCAACGATGAGTTTACTGATGGTGATGCTGGTCAGAATCTCCCTGACCAGCAATGCAGTCAGATCAGCGCTGTCACGGGTGGTTTTACTTAATTTCTTGGGGCTATGAAAGCTGCATAGAGCTTCAAGCAGCCTTCAGGCCACAGTGCTTTCTCGGCTATCTACGTTCAGAGTTCAGGTGGAGGGCATTTAGGCTTTGGATCCAGAACGGCAGCAGCAACCGTCATAGCTCAGGATACTGGAGATAGCAACACCATAAAAGCAACAGAGGCTAAACCCTCTGTGTTGAGAGACGAAGAGAACGTGAGATATAGCATTGCAGCCCTTACGCCTAAACTCCTTTAAGCATATGTCAGCCCTGAAACCCCAAAACCCTATGCCATTATGCCATACATTGAAGTCTTAGCCTATACCGTTAGCCCGAAAGTGGAGGTCCTAAACTGCTTGCACGGTGAGCTCAGGAACTTCTGAGGCAAGTGTCCAAGGACAGCCTGAACCGGATGAGTTGGCCACGAACCAGCCCCTTCGCTTGCAGAGTAGTAGTAGTCGTCGTCGCCGTCGTCGTAGTAGTAGTAGTAGGCGTAGTAGTCCTAGTAGTCGTCGTCGCCGTCGTCGTCGTAGTAGTAGTCGTCGGCGTCGTCGTCGTCGTCGTCGTCGTCGTAGTCGTAGTCGTAGTCGCTTTCGTAGTAGTAGTCGTCGTCGTGCCAGTAGTGCCGGTAGTGGCAGTATTGGCAGTAGTTTTAGTAGTGGTTGCAGTTGTCGTAGTGGTAGTTTTTATGGTAGTAGTGGTAGCAGTAGCATCAGCCGTAGCCGTAGTACCCGAAGCAGTAGTTGCAGTTGCATGGTAGTCTTCATATGTCGTTATCATCATCGTTGCCTAGGAAGTGGTAGCCAAATTGGTGTAATTTGATGAACAAGATGACGATGTTGATGATTGTGCGGCCGTCCTCGCCAGAGGCTAAGACGTGAAACGCCTACGTGCTTGTCGGATCAGGGTAGGCGAAGCAAGATAATGGAAGAGATCCAGGAATTTTGAAAGCAGGCAGTGCAGTCCATGACAGTACGAGTTTTCATCGTCATAGGCTTCATGATCACTCCACCACATAAAAAATGCCAAGAAGCAGTCTGCGGGTTTTTTAGACGAGACCGGGGCAGTGCAGACCGCAGATCTCGGCCTGCGTAGCTTTTTGCCAGCCTTTCTCAAGCTAGCGTTTAGCCTTCAGCTATGTCTAGTCTAATCTACTGCAAGACCCTGAGCCTTAAACTGAAAAGAGCCGAGAAAGAAAGGTTGGTAACATCAAACCACACCCTCAGCTCTAAGCCACTGTCCCTTGGTCGGCAAAGCCCAACCGAGGCTTTGCAAGTGTGATGCTCAGGCCGGACGGTTTTGGCGTAGCTGTGGGACTTCCGATGGAGTCTCTCAGTCGGTCTCGGGTTTTGGCACAGCTGCGAAAGCCCAAAGCAACTATGCTGGTAGCATGTGCCAACTTACATAGTTTGGAACAGGCCCTGCAGATTGAACATCAAAGGGACGTAGCTTCCTTCCATCAAGGTCTGTATTGTTCCGCGATGTAGGATTTTCATCATACCTATAGTCTCCATTGTAGCTCCTTTTTTTGGTTAAACCAATTTTATATTTAGGATCCTATAAGGGAACCCCAAAAAGGTACTACAATGGAGACTATAGGTAGGGTCTAAGATTCGACGGTGCGCCCAATCGTTCAGGATTGGGATTACAAGAGACTGGGCGGTTCCACGCGCAGCAACCTTTGACTCGTCGTCGTAGTCGTTGCCGTAGTTGCTTTGGTCGCAGTAGTAGCAGCCGTAGTTATCGTCGTCGTAATAGTAGTAGTAGTAGTAGTAGTAGTAGTAGTAGTAGTACTGGTAGTGGTAGTGGTCGTGGTCGCGGTCGCGGTCGGGGTCGCGGTCGTGGTCGTGGTCGTGGTAGTGGTAGTGGTAGTTGTGGTGGTAGTAGTCCTCCTCCTCCTCCTCCTCCTCCTACTACTACTACTACTACTACTAACGTTGGTGGTTGTCGTTGTTATTGATGCAGCAGCTGCTGCTGCATCGGCAGAAGCAGCAGCTACAAGACGAATCGAAGCAACAATGCACTTGCTATTGCGAAAACAGCGAGATCCATCCCTGAACATGGCAGTTGCAAAAAGCACCAGTTGTCAGATTTGCTTCGGCGGCAATGAAGTCCTACATTCTAGATCCCCCGAAGACCGGTGGACGCAAGAAGAGGCCTCGACGAAGACAGAACTCCCGAAGAGATGAAACAAAATCCCAACCCTGCAGTTCAAAACAAACAAAATCCCATGAAATCCCACAACTCTGCAAGCAGGGCTGGCGCCCCAGCCTTCCTCCGCGGCGGTACATCCAGCAGCTCCCAGTTGCTTGGCTTTTTTTGGGGGTCCCAGGGTATGGCTTTTGTTCGTGAAGTTCGGTGAGATATTGCCCGAACCCTCCAGGTACCTACTATATAGGGCCCTAGGGGCTCTAGTACCCTCTATAGTAGGTACCTGGAGGGTTAGGGTCGGTGAGTAGAATCCTGACACATTTTGGAGCCCGAGATCGGAGACAACTAATGTTGAGAAACGCCATGTGGGTAGGACTCTAAATTTAGGGTGCCTTTTAGGATCCTTTCCATAAGGGTGCCGTACTATCTTTGGGACCCAGACAGGGACCCCATGGGACCCCAGTTTAGAGAACTACCAATGTGTTTCTTTCTCTTGGTCCCGGCTCCCCAGAACGATGGACCTGCAGCATTCAGAGCATCAGGGTTCTGACTGAGAAACAGACTCTAAAGCGGCCTCAATAATAAACAAAACATAGTACAGGGTTTTGGTGGGATGGGATAATATATACTTTGTACTTTGGAACCCAAAGGAAGAGTAACTCACATCATTCAGGTTCTGATTCTGTGTCCCTGCAAGGCTCTCTTCCAACAATACCGGCACAGAGAGCCATCGCAGCAACTCGGCAGCGCTTCTGGTCAAGTCCGTGTTGGATCCAACCGCGTTGTAGCAAGGAATAAGCCCGAAACTGGGTCAGCATCAGGGTTGAACAGGGTTTAGGGTTTAGGGTTTAGGGAACACATGAACCGACAAGGGCTGGGGTTCTGGTACTCGGTTGTTGAGGTCTTCAGCCGGCAACTGGTTGTCTTCGGTGCTAAGAAGACAGTTCATTCGGGACTGCAGTTGTGGGTAAAGGCTGATCCTCTCAGCTCACTTAGAATGATGTTCGGTTTAGGGTTTAGGGCCTTTAGGGGTGAATCAACTAACTCCTGCTTTTCGTTTCGTTTTATCTGGTCCGTACCCCACATCTGAAGCAACCGGGAAGGGCTGAGATTGGCGGGATCGCGGCAATGGTTCCTCATTCTTGAGGGGCAGGGCTGAGGCATTGGGGCAGTCCGGTGTTACACAGGGGATAATTCCTAAGCAGATAGGAGCAGAGAGAGCACGAGGTTGGCCAGCTACTGTTGCTTCC